CGTCTCTGAGTCAGTAGATCCTTCCTCAGAGGAATCTGCCAGGGAGGGGCTGTCGCGAGGAGCATTAGTTTGGGGAACCAGGTCCGAGTGGGCCAATACGGCACCACAAGCAGGACCTGCTCCTCGTCCTCCCTGACCTTGCACAGCGTCTGTGCGAAAAGGCTCAGTGGGGGAAACGCATACTTGCGCAGGCCTCGCGGCCAGCTGTGTGCCAGTGTGTCCGTGCCGAGTGTTCCCTCGGTCAGGGAGTAGAACAACTGTGCGTACAGCGACCTCTGTTCTCTGTGCGACGAGATGGGTTGGGTAGCGCTAGCCAGGCACCCAGATACCGTGCAAGCGGGACCAGCGGAATCACCGCTGTACCCGCAGTGGAGCAGCAAGGTGGAACGCAGGGACCCAACTCGGGCGGCTTGAGAGCGGACCAAAGAGGGGTCTGAGTGTGCGGTGCAATGCTGAGTGTGCCTGGTTCCACAGTTTGGCAGAGGGTGCGTGAGTAGGGCCTTTGTTGACGCTCTCGAACTGCCCACTGCTGGCGATGGAGGAGGATGAGTGTGGTCCGGTGCTGGTCCGTCCGCGTCTCTCCGTGCCCTCCTGGGACCCAGGGACAGAGAAAACCGCTCTCTCGTCGAGATTTTCCAGATTCTCCACCCGGCCCTCCTCCGGGGGAGGGAGAGGTGCCTTCACCATCCCCCAAAGAGCAGCTTCCTCCCTTTCTGGGTCACCTGTCCCGGGGCCTCTTGCTCTTTCGCTCGACGGGGGCCTGGACGGGTGGGGCGGCCTGCCTACGCCCAGCTCCACGGCGCCGCTTGCTGGAGGCTGCTGCGGATGCAGCGCGGGAGCAGGGGCGGACGCAGGGGGCTGCCCTCGGCGACGAGCAGCAGCTGCCTGCCGGGGCAGGGTGTGACGACCCGCCTCAGTCTGCTTCTGTGCAGCCGAGAGCTGTTGGGCCAAGCTCCCAACCGCGTCGCCAAAGAGGCCGGTCTGGGACATAGGGGCATTAAGGAACCAAACTTTGTCGGTGTCCCTCATACCAACCAGACACAGCCAGAGATGGCGCTCCTGGACCACAAGTGTGGACATCGCACGACCCAGAGAACTCGCGGTGAGTAGCGGTTCGGAGCTCTTTCAGAACTTCCAGATCATGACCACCCTCGTGCAGGTCCCTCAGTGCCTTGGCCTGATGAACCTGCAGTAAAGCCGTAACGTGTAAGGCGGAGGCAGCTTCTCCACAGGCCGTATAAGCATCCCCGGACAAGCCAGACGAGTACCTACAGACCCGGGAGGGCAGGCACGGTTCGCAATTGTATTAGGACACAATTGCATCGCAACCGACCGCTCCACCGGGGGGACCCTTGTATACCCCCTAGCTGCACCACCGTCGAGGGTGGTGAGGGAGGAGGAACCAGCAGGTCGGTTTCCGGCAGTAAAAGGTGCCGTCCATGACCTGGTCAGCTCCTCATGCACCTTCGGGAAGAAAGACACTGAGGCGGGGCGAGCCACCCCGAGAAGCCAAACGTCCAACCTCGAGGGCCCGGGACGCGGTGGAGGTTTCCACTCGAGCCCTACCCTCTCGGCGACCCGGGAAAGCATAACAGACATCTCTGGATCCGATTCAGGCCTTGCCACCGTCCCGGAGGGTGGCAGCGCAGCCAAATCTTCCTCTCCAGAGAGCTCTCCCTCTGATGCAGTGATCGAGATCCGGTCGTCGGGAGGAGCACTGAAGGATACCGCTGGTACGCTCTTTGAAGAGGGCCCAGGCAGCTCAACTGGTTGCGAAGTGCTAGAGGAGCGATGGTCCCCCGAGGGTTGGTTCCCTGAGGAGTTTGCCACCACTGTAACCCTCAGACCACCCATGCTACTGCCCGAAGTAGTCCACGCCTGACTGCTGCCAGGATGAGCACTAGATCACGAGAGAGGCAACGGAGCTCTGCCCCCCTGGAGGAAATGGAGCCCAGACACGGGAGGCAGCGATCGTGACCATCACCCGGTGCGAGGTAACGACTGTATCCAGAAACGCACGGGTGAAACGGCATCTTTAAATAGACGATCCGTCGTCTTTACAAAGACGCACCCGCTTATTGTACTCTTTTAGAGAAATTGGCTTTTTTTTAGGGAAATGCTCTTTTACGTGCCGAGACGCACAGGGGAAACGGCCGTTTGCAGCATGACAGGGGGTAGTGCAGCCTGAAGTGCACAACACACTCGACACAGGAACGACCACCGCTGAAGCGGCGTCCGCAAACACAAAAAGCTCCCAAGAGCGCGCTAGACTCATCACACACGAAGCAGTTTGGTAGAAGCAGAACGATGTTGTCGCTCGGCTCCGAAGTGAAAAGCTGGTATGCGTTGCACCGGCTGCCTTCGGAGTGACCGACTGAAAGGGAACCGTGAATTACGTGTTTATGCCATCAGCCAATGACTCGGCTCCATCGACGCTGTCAAATTCTTTACCCTGATGAAATTCCTCTGGCTTTTCATCTTTCTCCTGTTCCCTAAGAGATTGAAGGGCATTAAAACTTTGAAGACGGTACCAGAAAGAAAACTAAACATTCATGCCACAATCTTGGCTGAAAATATTGGGTACTGACTTGAAACTGATGAGGTTGGTGTAGATAAAGGGAGGCAGGAAAAATGAGAGGACCAGTTTCCACACTTCTGTATTGCTGTCCATGTCCCCCCACCATATCTCTGACAGTAAATTCTAGCCATGGACAGGATCAAGAATCGTGACACCAATGTAACTAAGAAATATTGACACTCCAACAGGTAAACATGACCACTACTAACCTGCACTCCATCATGGCTGAAGAAGAGGCGAGCGTCAGCCGCTGTGGCCATCTGCAGACAGGTGGCGCCACCCCATACAGGTGACTGCCTGATGAGAAGCTTGAAAGAGCGGCTCTCATTGCTCTGGTAACACTCACTGAACACATCTATTATGAAAGTGATGAGAAAATACATAATGTAAGTAATGTAAGATTTCTTAATGCTTAAGACTTAATGCTGCATTTAATTTAATTTAATGCATCCTTGCTTAATAAAAGTATTAATTTTTTGCAAAACAAAAAAAATCTAATTGACCTTAAACTTTATAACTAAACAGTCATCTGAGACCACATTTAAAATTTGAGATTTGAGAACCTTTAAAAAAAACTAAATATTGATATATTTTAAATCCTGCACTATTAGGGACCATTAAAATGGGAAGATGCAGAATATGAAAAAAATGTGTTTAGTTTTTAGAATGGTGTGTCATGTGAAAAATGCAAGCGTAACAGGCAAACACGTCTGTCTAGCGCATATTTGCATATAAAAACTATGGTAACGCAGCGCAGTGGAATGCAAAACTGTGTTCTGTTTAAATATTATAATATATTTTTATTAATTCTTATACTTAAACTATGAAATAAATATAAAATACAAGCATTTTGGGCCCCACTGAAAAACAGTCCCATCTGCCATCTTTTAACTTGATTCACACCCACCATGAGCCAGATTCTCAAAGGTTTGAGCAAGTTCTTTCATTGAGAGCTTGGTCTCAGTCTCTGTCTCCAACTTGGAGAGCTCTCTTAATATCTTACATCCGGCAAGAGCACTTAGCACCGACTCCCCCGCCTAGCATCGAGAGAGAGGGGAAAAAGAGTAAAACAAAGCAAAATTATTACAATTGTTACACATTGATCATAGGAATTATCATGATCAATGACTCCAGTCATAATAAACAACACCATCTGTGGTATTCAGCATGCAACCCTCCTGTTACTGGACACTTTTACTTGCTGAATAAATTAATATGACGTTTACACAGTGGCATGACTGACTACTTTAATCTTTAGTGTGATACTAAATCCACACCACTAGGTGTCAGTATAGAGTCCAGGATCACTGTCATATGCAACTTTAATCTTCTCATTTGTAAGAATTTGCAAGGAACATGATATGGGTTTCAACTATGACTTGCCATTTTCCAGAAGTAGACAGACATTTCTCTGCGATTCTGAAGAATGGCCCAGATGAACAGAGCTATCCAGGGAGACATACAGCGCTGTTTCCGGTACACACTCTCAGTTCGCAGCAACATATTCACATGCTGAAAGGACGAGACAGAAACTATGATCACAACATTATTATCTATAATGTATGAACATAAGTACTGAAAGTCAAATCATTTCACCAATCCCGATACCTCTGAAAAAACCTGGCTGGTACCTTCATTGCTTTCCTTGAGGCCCATCCCTGTTCTACTCCAAGAGGAGCGTAGTAAAATGGCTGACAGACATCTTCCATGATTTCTGATAACACCCGTGAAACCTGGGAGAAAGAAAATCCTTAATGCACATGTTTTACATAAAGCTGGATGCGAAAGTCTGACATTACAATCAAATATTGGATTCAAGCCTGCATATGAACAGAAACATAAATAAAACAAACTAGAAATAAAATTGATCAAAAGTGACTGTAAAGATATTGTTACAATTTTTAAATAAAGTTCTTTTGAATTTTCGCCATCACAGGAATAAATTACAATTATAAAATATATTACAATATAAAAGAGTTCTTCTAAACTGTATCATAAAATAATATTTCATAATATTACTATTTTTACTGTATTTTTGATCAAATAAATGCTGCTATAGTGAGCATAAGACACTTCTTTCAATAACATTTTTTAAAAAATGTACTGACCCCAAGCTTCTTCAAGCGGGTGTTTTTTTTTTTTTCAGATTTTATATCACAATTTCTCCTCTTTTTTTAACCTTAAACTTTTAACATTGGTTTCAATGTCTGTCTTCTTTTACCTCATATAGAGTGAGGTCTCGAGCAGCAGATGGGGTGGTGAGGGTGGTGGCGTGGCTCTTGAAAGAAGAATTCTCATCTGGTAAAGTTAAGCGGGTCTGAGAGGCAGCTAAGCCCACTCGCTCCTGCAGCCTCCTCTGGAGGAATGAGGACACCAGATTGCAGTCTGACAGTGAGCTGTAAAGACTCTCTAAACGATGGTACGTCAGATAGTCCAGTATGTTCAAGCCGCTTTCCACAAACAGACGCACAAAATGGGGCTTGTCGTTCACCAGCGCATCAGTCATTGATACCTCCAGGTCTTCATACTAAGAGAAAGATTAAATATAGAGCTATAGAAGCTGTAATGTTAAAACACAGTTTTACAGTTTTGTGCTGGATTTGGTTTCATTCATTCTGCTGTTAATCCTACCCTCCACTGGATGTCACCGTTAAAGAGTTCACTCTTGGCGATATCCACTCTGTCCCAGGCCACTGCCAGCTTCAGCTCTTCAGTGTACTCGCTAGCATCATTCGCATCCCGTTTAGCAGCTGAACATGCACACATAAACCCATAAGTATATACTGTAAATGTGTTGAATTCTCAGGGCAGGTGATTTAATCTCACCTCTTACAAGAGCTTTAAGGATGATTCTGTCGAAGTCATCTTGCCCTTCCTGGTCTCCATGTAACACGGTGATCAGATCTCTGTTGTGATAGATACTAAGTGCCTGTGTGAAAAAGAGAAAAGCAACTAAAAGTAAAGGAAATACCTTTGTCCTGCATGCACTCTCTATCCAATCTCTTGCTATACACTCACCTGTTCCACAAGCTTCTCCAGTTCAGTCTCAGAAGGGAAATGTTTGTTAATTTTCTCTCTCATTCGGTCCCTGAGCTCAACACTGGCTCTTTTCCTGCTTTCCTCGGAAGCGGTCGGCAAAGTGGGACTCACTGGTGGACTCAGAGGTATGCTGAGATCCTTCAGTATTGCTGCTATCAGGTCTGCCGCTGGACCCGACCCTGCCAGCACCAACCATGGAGTGGTATTTTTCAGAGATAAATCCACTCTCTGCAGTGAGAAAGAGATTATTAATTTCAAATATGCGTAAAACTGATTTAATGCCATGAACAAAACCATGTACAAACAGAACAAAACAACATCAAGTAATCTTTTAAATTGCATTGTTTTGTTCGTGGTTTTGGAACTACCCAGATGACATTAAATTGGAACATCAAATTAAATCAAATTAAAAATAATATTAATAAAACAAAATAAATTATATTATTTTAAAAGAAAATATGGTTTAATATTAATATTGTATCTAATATTGTATTGTATTAATATTAATAATGTGTAATGACCTCAAGCATTGCAGCATCTCCTGCGATCAGCACACACAAAACAGGAATCTCAATGCTTCCACTACCTGTTAAGGGCAAGAGGAAGACAGATTTGTTAATACAATAGAAATATAGCATTACTCAAAATAAACAAAGAACATAAAGGTACTAGTATTTAGTTTCCATTTGTTTCAGAACTACATTATCATTCTGCTCCACTAGAGAGCAGTGTAGGCCTCATATTACATGCTAAATTTATCCTTATTATTATTTGTATTTTATTGTATATTTGTGTCTTTGTGATTGTGGATTACATTTTATGTAATGCTGCAAAAACAACTTCCCTTTGTAGGGACAATAAAGAGTGTTTACTACTACTAAATGAAATCATTCTGAAGCCATTTACTCCACTAAATACCACCAATGTTTAACTTCCCTCTTCCTTCCTCTCACTTGGTGTTTACTTCTCTGTTATTTATTTTATTTAATAAAAGGAAGTGCTTAGTTCCTCAGGGATGTGCTTGTGCTTCCCGTCAGTCCCTGATGAAGGTGCTACAAAAACGATTTGGGAATTTGCTGTTGTGCTTTGTGCTCAAGACTTTAAAAATGTTTTATTAGAGCTTTTCAGTTGAACCATCTTCTTTCGCTCACCCCAGATGCCAGTGCGCTGATGGGAGATGAAGTTTTCCAGGTTGGCTCTGAACATTGTTTCACTACCTCTGTGTCCTACACTTCCATCATCCACCAAGAGGAAGGCCTGGTGGTTGTTGTCCAGGCAGCTGGATTCACGGGGCATGTTGTGCACATAGTACCGCGCTGGGAAACTACCCTTGTAAAGAATAACCAACAGTAAGGTTTTACAGAGCAGCCAAGGCAAAGTCCTCCAGTGGTTCAAAACACTATTCAGGTCTTTATGACATTTACTGAAATGCTACTGTACACTCTGTAAAAAGTATCTGGACACTGAACTACACTTAAAATGTTTCAATTTCATTTAATATTTCACAATTTATCAAATCAAGTGGCCTCTGCAAACATATTATGCTAGACATAACTTTGCAATTACATTAAATGAATTTGTCCCAAAGTTAGGTGAAGGTGAAGTTAATCACAAGATTACTGCATGTTTTTTATGACTAACACAGTACTGATTACTTGTATCCAATGACCAATATGCAAAAAACAATAATAACAAAAATGACAATAATAATGATATATGATACAAATTAAATTGAATTAAAATAATTTCAATTAATAATAGTAATAGTAATAACAATAAATAATTAAAAATATTATTATTAATTTAATTGTGAACTGTAAATATCTGTAAAAATATCAACTAAGGGTCTGTCTCTATTATTCAAATTACCTACAGACTTGTAGACTTGGATGCACACACACACACACACACACACACACACACACACACATATATATAAACATAAAAAGCTAAAAATAATCATTTTTTGACGTTCATACATTTTAAGTGTGGCTTTTGTGTAAACTGTTCATACTGAAGCAGAATGGACTCATACGGTTGTACCTGTGGGTTTACGAGTTGCTGACGTTGGTAAATCAAGCCCCAGGGTGCAACACCAACAGCTATAACTTTGGCCTGGGAAAGAGATGAAGCTGTTGCACAATGATCCCTTACTGCCTCACCTACACAACGGCCAACACCCTTCCTCAGACCTGATGTCATGATCCAAGCCCCTGGGAAAAAAAAAAGGAAAAAAAAGAAAAGCTATACTATTACCTAAATTACTCAGCAGCTTAATTAAATTGCACGAAAATACATAAAAGTCACAAACACCATCACTGAAAAACATTGAAAAGGTATTTACCATAATGCAACACTTCTGGATTCAAGCCATTTACATTTTTACCATATACACAATAAACCTTATCAACACACTACAAACTAACACACATGAGGAATGCCACTGTTGAGTAATACTAGTTTGGCCTGTCTATCACTGACCTTAAGACTAGTCACTAATTACTGGGTGCATGAAAACAGTTATTAACACTTTTCCAGAACAAATTTCAGGAAAGCTACCTGTCCTACCTGATCTACTCTCTGAGCCAGAGGTGGCCGAACCATATCCACATCAGAGTTAAATATTTATAAAACATACTTGGTCTCTGGATGTGTATTATGCAGTGATATATGATAAATTGATATGGCCACTGTAGTTTCATTACATGTTGCATTTTTGTTAACAGTTTCATAATTTGAATGACATCTCATGACTTATCAGTCAGGCTTATGGAACACCTCAGTGAACAAATCTGGCAATTCATCCCCTAAAAGTCATCTGTGGTCTCCATATTATTTCAATAAAACATTCGTAATGTTCTTAGAAACTTCTTGAAATCTGCTATTAACTGGACGCTTATTAGTCTGAGTATTTTTGTGTGCTTGTGAAGGCATGCGTGGATATGCTGATGGATTTCAGAAAAGGGAAGTATAATGTTAATCACATTTATTCTGCCATGCAATAAGTGCTTTTTTATTTACATTTTTTTTAATTTCAGTTATTACTTCAACCACTATTTAAATTTTGCTTGCTTTTTTATGTTTCATTTTTTTTTTACTTTTATTTGAGTTGAAGAAAATGTAAAATGAGGAAAAACAAATAAATAACCGTCTTTAACTTAGTTTTAGTGCCCAATATTAACCCAGGCCAAACGGTGGAGGGTGAAGGGTTAACAGTCCACATGTGATTCATTAGATAAGTGAGTATAAAGGTTTCTAGCACTCATAACTGAGCTAAATATACACGAGCAGGAGAGGTTACCTGTGCTCTGTGCGGCCCGGACAAGACCCTGTCTGATCACTTCTCGCACCCAAGGTTTCACCTTCTCTTTCCCCTCTCCCCCCACCACAGACACCACCAGATTGGGTACCGACAGGCCCCACTGTGACGTCATCAGTGAGTACACATTGTCCGGAGGTGTATCATGTGCCAGACGCAGAAACTTAGAGACACAAGATGAATGACATATGAATGCACAGCAGAAAAACAGTCCTGAATGTTTGTAGGGGAGAGCGAGGTGATTTGAGCCTGAGGGGAAGTTGAGCCACCCTTTGTTTATAGACAACCATAAACAAAATTGGTGATGTGACCACAAAAATTTGAAGAGTTGTGATTTTTACTCACCCTGTGATGGAGAGAGGCCCACTGAATAATTGGTAACTACATTTATTAAGCTCAAAAAAGTTTTTTTGCTGTTCAAAGTGATTTTTTTATGTAAGGACATTAATTCTACAATTTGAACTTCATTTTGTTCTGAAAAAAAAAAGCCTTAAAAATGTTATCTTTAAATAAAACTTTTAAGAAGTCATCCATACATCCACTCTATTATAGAAACTGCTTTATCCTTATTGGGGTCATGGAGCTGGATCCTAACCCAGCATCTTGAGCTGCAGGTGAGGAACTCCCTGCGTGGATGATCAGTCCATTACAAGGCTCACACATAGATTGTAAGAAGTCATTTTTATTTAATTTCTCTTCCTTTGATATAGCATGAGGTGAAAATGTTCAGTTTTATTTCAGCATAGTCAATGGTACAGTTTAACCTCATGTGGCTCACGTAACATAAGTAAAAATTGGCTCAACTCACCCACACTCCCCTATGTGTGATATTATTCATCCTAAACTAAGGGACACAGGCATTCAGACAGGTGTGACATTCAGACATGTTCCTCACATGCTCAAACACGCAGGATATTTATGTTGTCACTCAAAAACTGCTGAATGTAGGAAGGGATTTGTGTGAAAAGAGAAAGACTGAACAATGGATCTTACTGAGGCAACACACAGGCTCCAAAAAAAATCTCAGAGATGTTTCCTTTTGTTACTGTTTAATTTAAATTGCCTTTAATGTGGCTATGAGAAGTGTGTATGACTCCAGGCTCTGTGGAATTGGTTAAAGGAAAGTTTATAATAGCTGTAGATTACATGTTTTCATTGCTGTTCAGTAATTGCCCAGTGGCCTGGCATACTTTTAAGGGGAATGACAATAGACCTTAGTCAGGGTAGTGCCATATTTAATTTTTGACAGGAGTGAAAATGAGGCTGTGAAGAACAGAAACACAGTGAGTTCAATGGATGTAATGTTGTTTAACAACAGGCAAATTGTTCAGTTGATGAAACATCTTTCCAAAAAACTTTCAGTAGAAAACATTTTATATTTTTTCTAATAAACTTTAATTAACTGTGGCACATTTACAGTAATATTTATTAATGTTGCACTCTTCCTGTTAAATTCATAAATAAATATCTATCCCTCAAAGCCTCATTTTCATACAGGTAAAATTCAATGTGGTCTACCCTGACTAAGGTCTATAACCTAATATAAATACAATTTCAATGTATTTATATTTTCATCTAATTAGTAAAAAAATAGTTTTTCGCACTGAAATACCATTCGCAAAAGTGGCACTATAGTGAATTTGCTTAAAAAAATGCATTCTCAAGAAAATGAACTGGTAACACTTTACAATTTGTTAACAATAGTTAATGCTTTAGACACCACAAACTAACAATGAAAAACATTTTAATTTAAATTACTGTTTATTTATTAATAGACTTCTTGTTAATAAACAAGAAGACATAAATGCTGTAAAACTGCTCTTCATTGTTAAGATCTCATTTACCACTGTTAAGCAAATTTTCAAAGGCAAAATCCAATCATTTCAAAAGGAATCCAGGTGATCATGAATTTCTAGTGAGGACAAAAGATTTCCCCACACAGATTTTGCAATGGATTCAGCTGGTCTTTTGAATTCACCACATTAACCAACAGAAAACTGCTTGGTTTGAAAACAAATTCTGTGTGAGCTCTGCTTCATACATGGCTATACTTTTGACAATAGACAATGGTTCTTTTTTGTCCATGGAATTTCCTCAGTAAAGCTGTGGTTTTAATCACCGCATTTGCGTTTTTGTACTTTTTGTTCAGGCGCAGTGAGTTTTTAGTAATTTCTTCAACAAATAAAACCTCACTGTAAAGTATTACCAATTTATCATAGTTGTATTGTCAGATCGAGTTCATATTCTAAATTACAGTAACTGTGATTGTGCGTGCTTGAGCAGGTGTAAAAGAAAGCAAGACACCCACTGGACTGTTTCTGCGTCCAGCTCCAGCAAACTCCAGCTGTCCAAAGGCATCAGTGGGGTATTCAGAGGTGTGTTGTTCACTGTCCCACTGGCTGATCACATGATCACCAGCCGTTATGGATGCGTGAAGTTCCTGTGCTCCACCACACTGGCACAAAACCCCATTACTGCCACAGAGAGAGAAAGAGAGAGAGAGAGAGAGAGAGAGAGAGAGAGAACTGTCAGAACAGGTTTCAGTGGGTTCAGAATTCTCATATACTTACAATTCAAGCCATCATTTCAGATAAAGAGAAAAAAAGAAATCAATATCCTTTGTGTGTGTGTGTGTGTCATTCATGTTACAATTAATTAATCAAATGAAGACGTTAACAGCTGAAGTTAAACTGTATGTCACACAATGTACACATCACCACTTAAATTAATAAATTAAATGAAAACAGTACCTGTCCAACCCCTATTGTGAATCATTACATAACAATCGCTTGTAAATGGGAAATGGACAGAGAAAATGTACTGTGTTGACAAATGGCTAGGAGTTCACTCTTCATTTAAGAAAAAAAATGGCGTGTTTGTTGACCCACCCTCCATTACCAAATCAGCTACTTAACGGCTCAGATCATATTACCAGAAGATCAAAGTCTATTTCAAATGAGACTATGAAAGGACTGAATAGTTTTCTGCATACGCTAGTAAATCTGAATGCAAGAGAAAATGGAAAATGGCAGTTGTACCTGGATGAGTTCTCCACAAAGGTGGTGCACACTCTCTTTTTAATCATCTTTGGGATCCAGCTCTACAACACAGACATTACACAGTAAAGCATGAGTCAGACATTTTCACATGCAGGTCCGGTTTCTTTCCTTTCACAGTCAGTGACTGAGCAGAACTAATGGCAAAAGAATTTCCAAGGAAATGTTGTAATGTGTGAAATGCATGAAACTAACAGCTTATTTGTGACTTAAAGATCTTCCAAAACCCAAATATAGCCTAGATTACATAGAACAACAAAACACAACCACAGTAATCAAAATCATTGTACTTAGCCCATAACTGTTCTAATTATAATACTTTTATAATAAAATAAAAACCTTTAGTCTGGATAAAGGCACTGTATATTAGATGACTGTATTCGGAAATTAAATAAAATTAAATGGAAACTAAATAAAGAAAATAAATATTAAAATATGATTCAAAAACTGTCTCAAAAAGTTTTGATTATTAAAACAGATGCTGAGCTGAGATAATAATCAACCCTTTAGGAACATTTGAAACAAAATACAAAGAGAAAGACTTCTTATCTTCTTAGGTTGCTAAAATTAAATGAACAAGGTCAACTTGTTTTCAGAACTACAAACAGCATGTTTGTTTATCCAACACAAGAGCTATAATGTACCTTAAAATGGATGATAATTCAGCATAACACAAAATATACAAGCTCTGTAGTTTGACAATGTTTTCACTTTTAACATGCTATCATCCATCTTAATCTTGATTTTTTATTGCTCCTTTTTATTTTTTCATTTCATTCTCCTATAATATTGTGTATATTTTTATTTAATATATTTTATAAATATACAACATTTCATTTTTTATTTCATTCATTTAGTGACCTTGTGAATTGCTTTGTTTTGTATGTATAGCAAGTGAAATTAATAATACATAGAACACAGAGAATGTTCTCACATTTCTTAAATGTAAACATCTTATAGGACAGACAAAATACATATACAGTATGTGTGTATGTATACGTAGCCTATGTATGTATATGTAGGCCTCCCCATCTTCGTCCCAAAAAACTGTTAAACAAGCTTATAACTTTAATATGTTGCTTTAAATTAAGAAGATTTGGTTAATCATTTCATCTGACTTTCCTCAGCAACATTAGACAATCCAAACCTGATTGGAAAGGCCATTAAAACAGTCATTACATTTGCATTAGCTTACAGTTGTTGCATATTAAAATACACTTCCTAATGCATTTAACTATTAAGGTGGAGACTTATTGAAATGTATTAGGAGTGGCAGCAGGCCTTTGATAAATTGCTTCTGCTTATATTGTTCTCTGTCCCCTGGATAAAAGTGTCTACTAAACAAACACGCAGCGGTGCAAGAAAATTTAAAACCTTCCAGTTACTAACGTAACCTCGGTTCCCTGAGATAAGTGAACGAACATTGCGTTGAGACGCTTATGGGGAAACTCCTGTTTACTCTGGTACTGAAGCCTGATTTGTTCACGTTTATGTAGCTGCACGAACCAATGGCGCTTCAACCCACCAAAATGGGAGTAGCCGGCCTCTACATAAGTTGGCTCTGATCGCCATTTCGTCAGAATCTTTCGACTGAAGCAAGTCATCGATTCATGCGCCGTCTTATAGCACAGCAGTAACCGGAGCGTTCCCTTTCGAAAGGTCTCTCCCATTGGATTGACATGCTTAAGCCCAATTCATACTTCTGCGTCGAACCTACGCCGTAGCATACGCATTTATTTGCCGCCGTCACGGCTATAATGCTTCTCCGACGAGCCGCTTCTTCTTCGGCTTTTACCGTGGTACTGCGGGTTACACCAGCAACATGCCCGTGGACACTGCTGACTAGCGGTTTGCATGTGTACTGCACGTCGACGCGGACAACGACGCAGAAGTATAAATGAAAACTGACGCATAGCCTACGGCGTAAAGGCTATGGCGTAGGTCCGACGCAGAAAGACTGATTTATACTCGACGCGTCCGCAAGTTCGCTTGGGTGCGCACGGCAAATATGACGTCTTTGCAATGTTGGCGGAAGTTCGCTTTGAGTGCACGAACTCATTTCGCGTGGCGGTGTGCACGGCATTTTTTGTAACTTTCTAACTTTCTGCGCAGCTCCGCATCCAAAGATGCATGGAGTTCAGGGTGATTCTTCTAGCCGAACATGCACGTCTGTGCCGGCATTTGTGTAAAACAGAAGCAGCTTGATTTAAGTTCAAACTCCATCGGGTGCTTTTTGATGCTTTGACGGAAAACAATGCAGTTTTTTTGCATAGTTTGTCCAAGGCTTTTTATTTGAAGTATGTTTTATTTTTATTGTATAAAATAGAATTAGAATTCATTTATACACTATTTGCTTAAAGTTGTCTTGTGTCTGATGCAAAATAAAGCCAATAGTTTAAGATTGTTTTAATCAGTTTGTACATAAAGAAATTATTAATTCATCAACTCATTAATCACGCGAGAAGTCTTGTACCGGCAAATGACTTGTTCTCACCGGTGATTTCCGATGGTTTTAGAGGACAATTACTCCTCGTCGCCCCCTGTCGTTTCAAAGAATAGTACAACGACGAACGCGACAAGTATAAAAGCCTCGTCCGTTTGGGAAGGTGCGCGCGCAGACAGCAGAGGCTCGTAGAGCGGAGCCAGGCGAAAGTATAAATCCCGCTTTATGGGGAACGTGTCCAATAGCGCCGTGCTATAAGCAAGCCGCTCTGCAAGCCCAGCCCCGGAGCACTCTTAATGACATGGAGTCATCCACGGTGGCTTTCTCCTCATATGAAGGGTGGGACTAATGCTCTTGCAGTGAGAGCATGCCATCTCAGTGAGCACAGCCTTTGCGTAGGCGCTGCCCAGACAGGCGACGCACTCACTGTGTCCGTCTGCAACCCTTGCACGAGCCACACTCGCAGAGTGACATTTGCAACAAGAAATTTACTTGGAAATTTGGTCTTAGTGCCAAATGGCCGCAGGGGAAAGCTTTTGACTTCTTCTGCTGCCGGGGGCTCCTTCTATGGCAGCTAGCAGCAGGCTGAGCTGAGAGCTTCTTCCTTCTTCATGTCAGCGAGGTCATGATCTTTGTCGCTGAAGGAGAAAAATTCTGACAAAATGGCGCTCAGAGCAGACTTATATAGAAGTCGGCTCCTCCCCTTTTGGCGGGTTGAAGCGACATTGGTTCGTGCAGCTGCACAAACAGTAGCCTACCAGAGTAAACAAGAGTTTCCCCATAAGTGCCTTAACGCAACGGGAGGGACCGTTCGAAAAGGAACTATGGTATGGAAACATGGAATAACTTGGGAAAAATAAGCTTTTTCATTCAACTTTTTACAAGTGCATAACAAGCCTGCACTCACAAAATCCTGACTCCAGACATCTGTTGTTTTTTCCAGTGTCTATAGATACAGGACTATTATCATTCATTTGTCATTTTAAGAGTTTCTTCTAACTAACTAGCGCTTTCTACGTGTAGTATGGAAAGCCTCCTCGTTTTAAACGTTTAGTCCATTTTAATGCAGTGCCAAAATAAATATTACTCAATATGAACTCGACAAAGCATGAACAATTAAAAAAAAAAATGACTGCCATCCCACTTCCTTACTGATAAATATTTAGGTGAATATTTTTACGTGATGTATTGCCAAACAACACTATTTACATTAATAATGTATCAAACAGACCTGATCTTTTTCGGATTTTCTCTCCCCTCCACCTCCTTCATTCTCTTTCTCAATTTTCTTCATTTTGATCATCTGTCCGTCTTAGAGTGTAGGCTTATTAGGGATCAATTATTCTTCAGATGAGCTCCATGGGGAGTCTAGATCCAATGATGCTCTAGTTTGCCATCAACCGGATTCCCAAGATATTCAATTAAACTTTTTCTAAAGCCGTAAATGTGAAAGCCCCGCCCACGCTACAAGTCACACGCTCGCTCCCCTGGACGCATTCCAGCACGAGCTCACGATGGTCTGTACTTGAAACAAACAGTTGTGGGCGGTGAGGGCAGGGAAAATAAATATGCGGGCTTGATAATAGTAGCAGAATACGATAAGAGTTTCCACATTGTTTTAAACCACACATTTGCAGATAAGCTGTGATTTGTAACCAAAGACATCGGTAGCCTAAGTTTACGTTTACAGACTCCCGCTATATTATTTTGTTATGTAAGTTAGGCTGTTGAAAACCGGATACTTCTGGTTATGAGAAAAGGTTTCCACATTTTCACGTCCCTGCAGGCGTGTCTTTTTGAAGTAGGCTACTATTGACCTTAAGATGTCATTTCGGCGTGACCAGTTATGCTGGTTTGACTGAAGTACCAGGAAGTTTAGTAAATTGGATAGGTCTTAAGCTCTCACCTGCAAGATTCAAATATTAAGGCTATTAATTTTCCTAATGGTCGCGAGATTATTAGCAAAACAAAAATGCCGGTGTTTGAAAATTGAAAAGAATCGGTCATTGCTGTCATAATGGTTTTTAGGGTATGTACTCTCTCTCTCTAGAAAGAAAAAAGAATTAAATGTAGAAAGTACGCTTATTAATAGTAAGGAAATAAAGAGCTACTATTAACTAAAAAAGGATATTACATGACTGAATGAATAATTTACCTGTAATATGTTGTGATAAAAAAAAAAACGATTTAAATCTTTAAAATTTGTGAGTTAGGCTAAGTATTTTTGTCCAAATATATAAACCCATATGATGGGAGTAGCCTATAAGAATGCTCTGTAGGCCATTACAGGAATGTCCAGATTAATTTTCAAATTGAGTATGGAATTAGTATAATTGGTACATGTCTAAATGAAATGCACTAATTCGACACATGTGATGAAGAGGTGAGAATGTTCACACTTTGCAATAAACATTTCGCTTCCACCACAATTTAATGAAGGAAATAATGCAACAAAGTATACACCATGAAAAAATCTGAAACAGGACTCACTTAATTATATAAGTGCAGGGGTTTCTTTTGAGAAGGTATTTTGAGAAGGTTTGATGAGGTCTCTGGCCATAGTGGTGACATAGCTCAGATGACTGTATAGTACTTGTTTCACATAATGATTAATACTGTGTACAGGTCCGTTTAAATCCATCATCAGGTCATCATGATGGTGAGCATCAGCTGCAATGTTCTTTAGGAAATCTTTATGTTCACTTCATTGCTACCATGTATATTCAAAAACTCTTTAGAGGAAAAAAAAAAGGTGAATTGGTTATTAAGCACTGCATTTCCACTACTCTCAGAACTGTATTTTAATATTAGGCAATGTAATAATATTTTATAATATTTAACAGACTTTAATGGCATTAATGTTTAAAATAGTTTTTAATCAACCACAGCCACATATCTCTGTGTTCAGATATGGCCACATGCACAGCCCAAGACTGGTTGCCCACTGAAGCTAAGCAGTATTGAACCTGATTAGTACCTGGATGGGAGAACTCCTGGGAAAACTAGGTTGCTGCTGGAAGAAGGTGTTAGTGAGGCCAGCAGGGGGTCCTAATGCCCCAGTGTAGTGATGGGGACACTATACTGTAAAAAGCACACACACACACACACACACACACATATATATATATATATATATATATATAATCCAAACAGAAAAATTTACAAAATACCGAGATATATGGGCCTATGGTATAACGCAATTCATCCAAAAAATACCGATATGATTTTTTTTTTGGCCATATCGCCCAGCCCTACAACCTAGTATGAAAAAGTACTGTCCCAATAGCTATACTTGAAATATTGTACACTCTGTATGTAAAATATGGCCCAATGTGTTAATATGAAGGAAATTATTATTTTATTTTTTTTAAACAGGTGTTTTAACCCTATTTTGAATTATGCATTGCATTATATTCTAATAGTTAAACGAAAATTCTGTAAATTTAACTGAAAATGTACTGATAATTTTATGCCAGGACATCATGTTTTTTATTCTTACAGTGTATGATACCTGAGGTAGTTACATTGCAAATTTGATTTTTTTAAATATGCACATTTGTCAGTTTGTTTGCATTTATGCAGTCACCATCTATTGCATAACAACTTATTGTTATAAAAGTAAAGAGGGAAACTAACGTCTGTACTATATAAGGTTTTAGTTTATAACTCACAGTAATCAAGGGCAATAATAGGGCAAGCTTTTAGATAGCAAATCATACATACACCTAAAATTGGGAGAAATAAACAAGTCACAAATGATGTTGAACTCCTGCTTTTATGCTTATGGAGCTTTTAGCAGAAAACTGTTGGTTTGATTAAGAAAAGAATCAGACGTCTTCATTTGGAAGTTAGGGCACAAGTTTATCTCTCATGTGACCTTCAAAATCACTGCAGTTTTCTTCAGTACAAATAAAACCATGCATGCATTTATCTCAACCATTCATATACACACGGTAGTACCTCTTCCATTGAGTCTTCTGCCAACTCAATTATATTATGTGAAGCTTCGATGGGGTAAAACACATTTTCTAGCTAGGTCATGACATGTTGTCAGAGTACTTTTAAATTTCAGCTGTTTATAATTGAAGTAAAAAACAAACCAAACGTCCTCAAACATCAGTCTGTTCCATGTATAAACACATTCACTGTCCTATAAGATGGAACTGATAAATATCCTCCATTCCACAGCTATCTCAAAATCTGAAAGATTTTCACGTGTCTGAGTAGCACCTCTACAAATGAATGCTCTCTGACGCAGTAAGAAGAATGAGGTTGCACTTGCAATCCTAGTTTTAAAGAAAATCTGACAAGGAACATTAACACTCTGTTCTCAGTTCTTTCATTCATTCTTTCACACTCAAAATCTCAATAGTAATAAATGTGTAAGCTAGCTTGCTATTTAAAATGTGCACCCTTCTCTGAAAGGGAGAGAGGAAGGAAGAACACCTATGTAGTGTACTTAAAGTATATACAGGTTGAACATTATGTGTAAGAAAGTGTGTGCGCCATCTTTATCTCTCCCTCTCGAGTGTATACTTTAGAATGCTTTCAGTACACCTTATATCATACCACATTCTATATTCATACATATTTATAGCAAGACAAGAAAGAGAGACAGGAAGGGTGGTGGAGTACTCAAGTTTACATGATGTCAACACATAGGGGAAACAGAGCAATATAACAAACGACTGTCACTCAATAGCCATGGTGGGCCCAAACACGTGCAGGGGAGGAGATTTTGCAAACTTGTTCAACCAGATGGAGAGAAATAAACAGTCTTTGTCCAATCATGTTGAGGAATGCATTGAGGCAGACTCTCTGTCCTCTTTTTCCTCCTCGTCCATTTTGCGGCCGTGCTTTCTAAAATACTTGTACCTCTGGACATAGAGCTTGACCAGGTTACTCACTTTAACTGGGTTTATCTCACCTGTCCGGCTGTGACAAATCTGTGAGGTAGACAGTAAAGACAGATTTAGTCATGCTTTCTAGATATTTATTAGTAGCACTATATTGTGTGCTGCAAATCAAGGCTTTCTTGAAGTTACATTTACCTTGTGCACAGCTTTCCTTAAGATATCCTTGTATTCGTCTTTGTTGATGTCTTTACGCTGGTAGTATGGCTTGATGGCCAATTTGACTTCCTCTACTGCCCTCTCCTGGGTGTGGAGCTTCTTCAAATACTAATCAAAAGTATTTGATTTAGATTGTTATAGATAGGGTTGCATGATTTGGCCAAAAAAAAAAAAAATGTATTTGTCAATGTTTTGAACTGCAGCATGATAAACCTTTAACTTGTCTTATTGCTGCTCTGATTTCCAAACAAATAGAACAAAAATACATAAAAACACAAAGCAAGAAAACAATATCTTTTGTCCTTAAACTGTTTTTAGATTAATGTTTGGCCAATCCTGCTGCCAATAGAACTGAACCTAAAATCAAAAACCATTATCTTTGCATTCACATTGCAACTGGACTTTAAAGTTATTCAACTTCAATGCACCTTGAATTGTTTCATTGAATTACTTCTACTCTTTTTGCAGACCTAATTACAGAAATATAGAAATGTATAGAACGAAAGGAATTCAATGTTTGTCTACAAGACCTATGGGGTGAAACAGAGAGAGAACGATGTTAAATGAATTGCTGTTACCTTGTCAGGGTCTTTACTGTCATTATCCCAGCCCGTTTCACTGCCCCCTGTTGGCACTGGCAATGGAGGCGGTGGAGTTTGAGCACAGCCTCCACCCATTGAGAGTCCAGGGAGAAAGTGTGAAGGAGGAGTTTTGGTGCAGCCAAACAATGGGACAGAGCTGTGGAGAATAAACTGTGCAGGAGTGGGTCCTGGGGGTGGAGCATGTGATGGAGGTGGAGGAACTTGTGATGAGACAGATGAGGATGATGAAGGAGGGTGTGGCTGTGCCTGGTTCTGATTGGCCTGAGAGAGAATCTGTGTAAAATGAAAGTGGAGAGTCTTACAATTTTATTACACTTTTAAGTAAGTTAATTAATTTACTTCTCAATCAATAGCGATTGAAACGGTCAATCAGCTAGACTTAAGGCCTCTGGTAGAGCTGCTTTAAAACAGGATACAGAATTATTCTGGAATCATGTTGCTTTGCCTTATAAATGCACAATTATATAAAATAATAGTAAAGGGGCAGTCACACTAGACTTTAAAGCATGCAAAACTTTTTCAGACTCTGCAACCGACAAGATATGACATCGAACTCATTTTTAAAAATGCATAATTACTCCACTTTTATGTAACACTGCAAGCCAGCAGGTTTAATGTGATTTTTTTAAAATCAGCTAAGAGGTCACGCTGCGATGTATCGATCTTCTATTGGCCATGTCTTCAATGATACAAACTTGCAGATCAGAATTCACATGACTAGAACTTTGGAAACTTCTTC